TTGTTGGGGGTGGCTTTATTTTGCCTGCAGGAGATTTTGCTGTTTCTGGCAGAGCATCAACATGGGAAACCTTACAGCAGTATAACTGCAAGGCACATAGTGTAGACACAGCCCATATCTTAGAGGGTTTTTATCTATGCAATTATTGCAAATTGTTTAACTAGATGAATGAGTAATCCTGTATCACCTTAGAGACTAACAAAATATAGATATTATGAGCTTTCGTGGGCAAAACCCACTTCCTCAGATGGATTTTTGCCCACGAAAGCTCATTATGCTAATTATAATATCTATGTATGCTCTCAAGGTGCTACAGGACTACTGTTTTTCTTTTTTAAAGTTACAGACTAACACGGCTACCACTCTGAGACATCTAAATAGATATACAGTGTGAAGCAAAGAGATGGAAGATTAAGAAGCTATTTTTCCCATGGCCAGATGTTGAAAATGAAATATGCATATTCTCTCCTTCCTATTCCTTTTATGAATATAATAGCAAATGAAGAATGCTAGAAGGAATGTTTACCTTAGCGATCTGCACAGTGAAAATACAGAACGCTAGTCTGAACTGTCCACAGGATTCATTTCTAGCATGTACCTGCAGCTTAAGTGAATCTACAGCTGCCTAGGCATTTGAGGAATGGGTTTCATTTCATTTACATATGTAATCTGAAACATGCAAGTCTTTGAAATGAGATCAGGCCCTAGGTTGATGCTATGTTGTAACGTTGCCTGGTTGTAGTGTAGATGAAACTACTGTGCTATTTTCATATTGATTTTCAGAAAAAGTGAGTTTTGGCCAACGGCTCAGGATCTAACTACTCCAAATTCCTTTGCAAATGTAAATATTATTTGGATAAAAATAACTTCAGCTTTTCAAATCAGCGGTTTGTACATCATGCAGTTATATAAGTTGCTTTTTTATATGCTGAGACATCTGGACTACACCAAAGGTGGATTAAATAGATATGGCTGTACATTGTACAATGGTAACTTTGTACATGTGTATTCTGTTACGATCAAAAGGCCTCTTCGACTA